TCAAAATTCCTAGATATTATGGTTGATAAAAAGTATATGCAGAATAAATCGAGATTTGGACAAATTGGTTTACCTTTACATGATAGTTCATTATATAAATTAAGTACTTGTGGATCTGTTTTATGAAGGTTATGTTTTAGAGAAGCTTGAATGTATTCTTCATTGAATTTCTCTAGATCTTGCGCTTTTACTTCTGCCAATTGAATAAGATGGTCATATAAAATGTCGTTTGCTTTGTTAAATAACTCTATGTCAGATTCTGTGGAAGAATTCAAGTGTTCCTTTAAAGAATCTTTGAATTCTAATGTATTGATGATTGTTGTACAATAATTATGTGTTGATAAGAATGATTTTGCCATATTAAAATCCCCATTTTTAATTAAATTAACAAATTGTATTATATCTACGTTATTATTAGAACTTATTGAAGATCGTAATGTAGTGTTATTGTTCAAGAAACTTTGCTTTAAGTTCGTGTCAATTATAATTGGCATACCCTCAGTAGTTGCTGTTGACATATCTCGAGAGAAATTCCGAACTGATAAAATATTTTGCATTGGCTTAGTATGTAACAAACTTCTATAATTGAAATTTCTTGAGGCTGTGGAATAATGATAATATATGTATCGCTTTGCATTAGTACCAACACTAAAGCCTCGGTTTAATTGATAAGAATGGCTTATTGTTTGAAATATTTGTTTTAAATGTAATACTTTTTTTAATTTAATGTTTGTTTGTGATAACATATTTTTTCTTTTTTTTTTTTACTTTTTTTGAAAAAAATGGCCACTTTGGTTTTTCGCAAAAAAGGGAAAAAAAAAAATTTGTTGATAATCTAATCACATCACGGATAATTTATACGAATACCCGTCGATCGTAGTGGCAAATCGCGATGGATGTTCATAGCCATAATGAAAGCCACATGGAAATATCGCAAATAATTTTTTTAAAGTATAATATATGATAACGTATGAGTCATTAAATGCCATTTAATTTCTATGAATAGTATGAACATACAATGGCTTTTCCTTAAACAGGAAAATGCAACATTCATTTTTAATTAACCTTTTAATTAATAAATCCAATTAATTCGATTTTTGAATATAAAAATGGTTGATATTAAATATTAAACTCTACTTCCCTTTGAAATTTTTTTAGTAATAAAAAACTTTGTTGTATTTAAATAAAATGCCACCTGGAAATTCTATTACTAATGCTACGGCCACGAATGGTCATATTAATAAACCTGCAAAAACAGAAATACCAAGAGAAATAATAAAAATAAATGAAAAGGTAAACCAATTTGTCCAAATCTCGATTTATTCTGCATATACTTTTTATCAACCATAATATCTAGGAATTTTGA